ACTTAAGTAAAGGACAAAATGGAAAAGCTTCTCGAAGCTAAAGTTAAGGCACGTATGTGTCGACTGTCAACGACTCAAAAGAAGATTATTTAAATCGCTGCGACGTTCATTTATAGTCGAATGCAAAGTCGGTGATGCAACACAACCATATTTCGATACATCTATATTACTACATATTATAGATAGTTCACCTTCAAGCGTATCAGTTTCACTATTGTTTAGTAGTAGATAACGTTTATATACGAAAGTGGCTGATTGAGTCGTATCTGATCGCAGTAGCCGCAGTAATCATTTGATGTGATCCTTCTCGACGGCATCCATGTGTGATGATACCGCAAAGGTCCATTTTGAACACGGCTGTTTGTAGCAATGGCAGTTGAAAGCTGAGTTGAAATGGAATAGAGTCTAGGTCGACCATACTGCTTGCCCAATAAATCAACGATGCTATCTTTGATATTATGTAAATAACACTATTTGATTAGGATTCCATATGGGCGGACATAATTGAATGGGAACGCTCCCTTTTTGAAAAAGCCATAATTACTCCTTTATTTCAGCTGCGTCATGTGTGTGCACATACAGGTATCCATGAGCAATTTATCTGAGCATATTATTGAAGTCGTAGTACTTTAACATCTTCCCTTTAACTATTACTATAACGCTAATCGGAATATATGCACGAAAGCGTGAACTCCGTGTATAAACCGTCGACATCATGTGAACTACGGCTATGTTGACAAATCAGCGCCGTTTGTTTTTCCAGAGAAGTACAGCGTTAGATCTGTGTATGTGTGTGTGTGTGTGTGTGTGTGTGTTTGTGTTTGCACCTTTGTGTGGCTGTGCGTAGCTGGGCAAGGGACCCTTCTGTTCCTTCCTTCTTCAGCAGTTAGCTGCTACTGCTGTTATGCCCCGCGACCTCGCTCCCGGGCGCAGAAAACGACTGTGGCGCCCCCACCCACCATTGTATCTTACCATTATTACTCTCTCCAGTCATCTATATATATAGATATATACATATATATATATATATATATATATATATATATATATATATATATATATATATCTGGAGAGAGTAATATTAATTGAACTAATTGAAAGTTGCAGCGAGTGAAAAATAGCTGAGTAGATTATAGGGCCGCTGAGCATGTTCACATTCACCCGCATCAAAGATTTTTGCCCGCGCTGCGACTGGCGCATGCGCGTTGCTCACCCCGCCACAAGTGGGCCCTGCTACTGCTGCTGCTTACGGCCTCTGTAGCAGAGCTCTGTGACTAAGGTCCACTGTTACTCGCGCCGCTGTTTCGTTAGCCGCTGTACGAACAGTCGAAGGCAGCAGTAGTGACAATAATAACAACAACAGTAATAGAAGTAGCGGTAACAGCAGCAGCAACGATATAGCACAACGACAACTAGCGCTGCTGTTCGACATCTCGTGTAATTCCGTGTTCTGGTTCTGACGACGTTCTTTCGCCGTCCGCCTCCACAATCGACGCATTGTCCTCAATGACGTTACCCTCTGAGAACCTCCAAGTGGCCGAGGGCTATTAAAATCCTCCAACAACGAAAGCAGCCCTCTCGTGAAGGTTTCGCAAACTCAGAAAAAGGGGAAAAAACTCTCGTCCCATCCGTGTTTTCGCGCCGTGGTTTGCTCGTAACTGGCTAGCTAGCCAGCCAGCCAGCCAGCCAGCCAGCCAGCCAGCCAGCCAGGCCGATCGCAATCAACCAACGACTGTTCATCCTGTCCGTCGTTCGTGATAGAGTTGGGAGTTCGTTCGTTCTGTTCACCGGAAGCGTGAGGTCGTATTATTAGACATACAGAGGCAGTGGTGTTCGTTGTTCTTCTTCTTCTTCTAGTCCCCTGCCCTGAACCAAGCGCCCGCCCACCCGTCCGTCCTCGTCCACCTGTCCGTCTGATCATTCGACCCAATGCTCTATTATTATTCGTTTGCTCATTTAATCATTCATCCGTTCGCCAACCCCCCGACCAGATGGACGTACTCGCTTCGCAAGTTTGTAATCGTGAGTCGACTCTCTCCTTGTGTTTATCGATCCCATTGTGGCGTTTCAAATTGTTGACAGATACGCAACCACCATAGTCACCGAGTGTCTAATTAATCCGCCTCATCCTAAACGCGTCCTATCCAAATCCGATGCGAACCCAATCTGTCATAAATCGCTGATTGTTTCAACCTTCAACCTCCAACATTAAACAGCCAGTCCTCATCAGCCCAATCCTTTGACTACAACGAATAATCGTTTAACTCTGATCGTAACTGCTAGCATCAACAATGCTGAGCAATCCGTCGTTGTCGATCAACTGACAGAGGGAAAATAATTGGCACACTGACTGATTATAGCCAACTAACTATTGATTACCGTATCGTGGCCAAGAAGGATTACCTCTTCAGCCAATACAGTCTTCGCTGCCTCCTTTTGACTGCGGTCTCGTTCGTGTGGCCTTATTCGTTCGCTGATTCGAAACAATTCCGTCTTCCTATTCTATCATCATCGCCATCACCATCATCATCATCATCATCATCATCATCATCATCATCGAAACTCGCATGCGTCCCGCTGGCCTCCGGAGTCACTGTGTCTGCCAGGCGCAGGACAGTAGACACGCGGTAGGCAAAGCGCCGTTGCTGCTGGTCATAGCTCCACTGCTACTACTGTTGCCGTTCCCCGCCCCACCACCGTTGTCAACTATGCTGACGGGTGGCCCGCCAGCGCTCAGGTCGACGCCGGTCGCGCACCCTCTGCGCTTTCTTTCGCATGTGACCTTTGCTGTGGAAGCAATCCCAACTCATCCAAAACGTTTTCAATGCCCCCGGGACCTCTGGCTCCCCCTAAGTCTAACCTGGACCGACGTAGCCTCCGAGCATGTTTAATTAGCTGGTAAGCGTCACGACGTAACTACACACAGTAGCAGATGCACGAACACTGTTAAACAGACATTTGACCAACAATCAGCAGGCGGTCAGCCTCGCGATCAATCAAATAACAGTCGCCGACCTTCATGTATCTATTTTTAGAAAAGCAAGTCCGACACTAGCCGGCCACTAAGCAAGCATAAGTCATTGCATATCCACCCACCCAGCTAACTTATCGATCTGTTCGCTCATTGATTTACCCATTCATTTACCCACCTGCAATTATGTGTCGATCGTAGCCCGACAAGAAGAGCTCGTCTTAAGCGTTTCTGGCCCACCCATTCTTCCTAATAAATTATTGCCTAAAGCATTCAATTTCGTTCTATTCTAGCGAGAGTGAACAATCGCAGACTGCTTCGCGAGCTAACACACCTGTACATGCATATATTTGTTACGATATATATATATATATATATATACGTGAAAGCAATACCCCCACCCCCCATTCCTTCTGAAGTGAGAGGTGACAAAGTAACGGAAGCGCCGAATGCGAAATGGGATCGAATGCTCATCAAAGACAGGAACATAGGAGTCATGTTTATGAATAAAACGCTATCGTTTGTGACTAGAAAGGGACACGAACACAGGCTGTGACCGAGGACGAAGAGTAAAAGTCAACTAGATTAGATAGAATCCTGATAGAATACGTCATCATTTAATAATAGTAACGTACTATCTAGTTAGTAGGAAACATAACCGCTTTCTTTTGTGGCCTTTACAATGACGCCGTATATTTTGCTGTCGCTGATGGCGTCATCGCAATTAGTGGCCTCTGTTCCGAGTTGAAAGTTGGCCGTGCCTTGTCCTGATTTAGCAAGGCCTTGAGGAAGCTAATTTTTGGTTTATTATAGCTATCCCGATGCGGGATAGCTGCGGTTACGTTGAAGTCAAGTCTGATAGGAATCGGACGCTGTTCTTCCGTCCGTTATCTCAATAGACTATTTGGTCTTGTTTAAGATGGATCTTACATGATTTCTTCCGTGAATTATCGGTTCTTCTGTTGAGCTACATGTATAAATCGTATCGTAACCACTTTCATATTGCCAAAACACACTGCGCATTACCTATCAAATGGTCAACGATATTTATGATACCCGTTCGCGTGTCTAGCCAATAGACGTCTTTGCCTGCGAGGTACTTATTGGTATGTAAATGTATTCGAATATAACATACGAGTAATGTGGCTCACGTTATTAAATGGCGGAATACAAGATTCAGCAGTTATTAAAGATCGATCGTCAACCCATAGCAGAACAGTAGCGTAATGCCGTTTACATGGATGGGCATATACCTCCAGCAGACTGACGTATTTTCGGATTGAATCAGATCGCAAATGGATGAACACAACGAAGCAGCAGTAACACATGCTTTCGTTATATTTGTGGCCTTAATGTAGGTCTGGGCAAGGGGCTGTTACTGCAATTATCACCAACGACGGGTGGCTTTTCTTATTGGATCTTATGATCTTACACAACAAGTAGGCGGCGGCGGCGGCGGCGGCGGCGGCGGCGGAAGCGGCAGCATCCGTTTCCCTTGTCCTTCCATTCCAACTTAGCCGCCATTATCGCTCTTGCCGCAGTAAAGCCAATGCTATCAAACACGCACACAAGCGTACTATAGAAATATTTGGAGCCAGCTACTGATGAACTGTCTAACGATCAATGACGATATACAATGCGTGCAGTATATTCTCCCTGTACATACAGCTTATTTTTTAGAACACCCCTGTCCAAGGCAGTATTGAATAAGAGTACCACGCCAAGAAAAACAAGCTACATTAGCTTACAATGTAGTTTGTTATTCTGGTAATTAACATGTACAATCAGAAGCGATACGAGCCGTGATCGTAACCCAAGCGATCTTCCCATTTCTTCTCTAGGATATAATATAACACGCTTAGCTGTGTTATATTATATACCAGCTAAGTGAACAGAATATACTCAATGCGATTATCTTAAAAGTTAGTTTTATATTATCGTAATATACGAGCGGAACAATATTTGCCTTATAACCGGACAGCCACAAACGGCTAACCAGAAAATGCCGCTCGTCTTTTTTACCTAATAGGGCAAATCGGAGGGGAGGGCGAGACCTCAGCTGAAGACAAGGAGGCAGAGGCCGAGGCTGAGGCCGAGCGATTGGAAGCTCTTCGTGAGGCCGAGGACCGCCGCAAAGAGAAGCACCGCAAAATGGAGGAGGAACGCGAAAGGATGCGTCAGGGCATCCGGGACAAGGTACCGAATTCAATTAATTTCACGGCTTAGTTTTTCATGAGGTTAAAACAGTGAGTAAGTCAAACGATTGCATCCATTGATTAAAAACAAGTAAAATATTATACAACTTTAGGTTAATCAATAACTAAGTGGCACCCATCTACACACATATAGGTAAAACTGCTTGTTCTCTTCTTTCAGCACTCTCCGGACTTTGGTCTGTCGATCTCCAAACTACGTTAAAATACATAAACATTCACTAAACTTCTGGAAACCATTTGTGTTTTAGCTCTACTCGAACATCGATTGTCAAGGAACGAATGTGTAAAATGTGGGATTTCACATTTTTATCATAGGCTCTATTAAAAACCGCAAAATGTTGAAACTTTATATGACTGTATGCTGAACACATTCAGCACCTATAGACACGATGTAATTTGGAGTGTCGTTATAATTTAGTCTATGCAATCTATCGATTCCTTTTCAGTACGGAATCAAGAAGAAGGAGGAGATCAAGCTTGAACCCGAAGAAGATATGGGACCTGCTGGACTGAATCGACGAAAAAAAACTCCCGAAGAAATTGCCGCAGAAAACGAAGCAGCTGAACAGGACGAGCTGACCAGTAAGAATCGCTCATATCCATTGTGGCCCTTGTGCTCTAGACACAGCCCCAAGCAACTGGAACATAGAATCAATGATCTTCAAAATGCTCAATCAATTGAACACTGATTGTCCAAATCGATCGTTTTAACGATATTTTTTTGTACACGATTTGAATTTAGACGCATTTTAAACTCTACGATATCCTCACTTTGTTCGTTAAACTCGTTCGTCATCTAATAATAATAATAATAATGATAATCGATATTTTCGCTTGCAGAGCTCAAGAACACCATCGAAACGCAAGTGAGCGAGCTAAAGACGACAATAGAGGGGAAGTGTAGCTTACAATAGATTACTGCCTCTGCCTTGCACGTAGATCGCCTGTTCGGAGGCCTTATAGTGCATGACGAACAGTGCAATTCCAGGCAAATGCAGCCGCAACAGAAGCAACCAAGTACTTATAAATAAATAAGAAAAAAGGAACAAGCTATCCATTACCGTCAAATAAACACGAAATCAACACTATTGCCGCCTGCTCGCCAACTCGTCTGCTTGGAACCTCAACTTATCTAAAATTATTCACCGGCAAACCATCGCCATCGGCGCCGTCACACGAAAATACATGGACAGCAAATAACCTTAAAAACCACTAAGTTGTTGTTCCCACACGCAAAAAATAAATTCAAGTCAATTTATAGCCATAGCGAAACGATCGCCGAGTGAGTTAGCTCGTGTATGGGATGCAGATCGAAACGGAAAGCCCGCTAACGTACGCATATAGCAATCAGAAACAAAAAAACCGTAGGGAATTATGACTATGAAGCAGTAGTGACGAACAGCTAAATAGAAAAAAAGCATAAAAGCAAAGCAAGAAAGATTGGCGGCTCCGGACGAAAGTACCGTCAAGCAAGCCGTTTGTGACCGATTAGCTCGACGACATCACTCTGATGAGGACCTATGGTGCTGAAAAGCTAATATGAGATGAAACTATGACAAGGTTTAATTGTAGCTCACGAAACAATTCGCAGAGTAGTCGCGACGATATCTCAATCGATTACTAGCTACGTGTTTGTGTATTGAGTCCTCTTTCATCATATATCATGGCGCTCGCTCATACCGTAGCAGCAGAAGAGTAATGCAAGCAGATAGATGAAGATTCATAAACTGCTGCTGGTGCGGCTATGACAAGAGAACAGATCAGCAGAAGCAGACAAGCTTTCTTGCTCCTTGAAAAAAAATCATTAGGATACTGCACTAGCAGCATCCGGAGGAGTTAGCGATCTCGAGAAATATCAGGCCTCAAAAGAGTAGGACAGTCACATCTGTTCGTGGAGGCCCTGACACTATTCAGGTAAACGCAGAAGAATTCTGCACAGCCGTAGCGAAGATATATCATCTATTCTAGCGTACGAAGTCATGAAGTACCTATGGTTCGAAATGCTTTGACTATTGATTGTGCTCATTGATTTTATAGAACTGGTTAATGAAGAGGAAACTATCGCCACCCAGTAGTAATCACTAGTCCAATAGTATAAATAGAATCATGATGAACAAAAGTCATTGTATTATTAACGACGAGTATTTCAAAGAGAGCCACAGTAAGGTTCACAAGCTTCTAACAAAAAGAATGAACAGAGGGAGCTGGAGTTGAAGCAGCTGAAACTACTATTGACAGAGACATTATTATTGCTACTATGAATAATACAAGGAAACAACAGCCGCTGCAGCAGTAGCAGCAAACAAGGTAAAAGCTCTTTATAATAAAATGAATATCAAGGGCAGTCATGATACTGCTGCTGCTGCTGCTGTTGCTGATGCCGAGGGCGATGATGAGGTTTCAGTGATGACCAAACGGCCACACCGTTCCATTCACATTCGTGATAACAAATTATAATGATGATGACACGTAATCTGATGGCGACGTCGTCGTCGTCGTCGCCATCCTGTCGTCGGAACAGAAGGCTGTCCTTGATTCAAGCGGTTAGATCCTGATATCTTCAGCTCACATGCAATGGGCCAAATTGCGGCAGCGGGATCACTTACTCGGCTTATCGTTAGTAGTCGTTATTATGGAGTTAACAGAATAAGTATACAATATTTACATGACTCAGAACGATGTGAGGAAACGTTGAGAAGGCCTTCTACTTGCGCGAAAGCTGTACCGGCCTCCCGCTATTCTTAGAAGAGCCTCAATGCCTCTCATCCGATTGACAGCCCTCTTCCTCATGTTACAGACAGGGGATGGCTAGTTAGATGGAAGGCGGCCGGTGGTACTCCGTAGTGCTCACTTCACAAAAAAGTAGAGCGCTTTCAGCGCCCTCCTTCGACCGTCAAAAGATCCTATTGACGCTACCGATCCCCATCTGCCCGTTTCTCTCTCGGCACTAGCGACACCTTCGTCCACGTTCTAATCCTATGCTATATAAAATTTACAAAATTCGTTCTATTTCTGCATTCCAGACCGTGCTTCCGCTTTGTGTTCAAGTTCTGCTTAAGTAAATAAAGTAAATAAGTTCTTATTTAAGGTGCAACGTGGTATTTTCGAATCATTTGTATATCTTTATATAACTATTTCGTGATTATATGTTGTGTATACGCTAACAAACGATTGTCGCTTGCCGCGTGAGTCAGGTGTTGCTTCTCAGCCTTCACCTTCTGTGCCCTCACTCAGTGGTTCGAGTTCAACTCAATCTTTTTCGAGCATGAGGGACGTCAAAAGCTAATACTTTTCCGACGCCTTTCTTCTTACTAATCCCTACGGTCGGGGGACAGGCGACGCTGATGTAGATTTCCAGTCTGCTCTACTACTCTGAATATGCCTACCGCTCTATAAAGAGAAAACTAACATACAATCGACAATAACAACAACAACAACAACAACAACAACCGCAACAACGACGATGATGATGACGACGACGTCAACAACAATAACAATGACATCCGGCACTGTTCACAAATACACACAATTATCTAAGAAAAAAAAATATAGCGTAACTACTATAGCAACATTTAATCAGTCAATTCAACAAACAAGCAACTAACAACCAATAGAAAAGCTTCAGAAAATAGTGTAACATCGCAGCTGAAGTGTACACTACAATTTTCGTCCATAGGACAGCAGTTACAGGCAATAACCCCTTGGGAAAATGGAGTGGACCTTAGAACAAAAATAAGTATTATCGGCGTTAGCAGGAAAAAACATCTCGACGAACCGCCGAGCGCCCGTTGAATGTCTGTCATCGATTCCGGGCAGGCTAAAAGCTGTTCGAGCTGGAACAGCTCGCAGACAAGTTAACCTCTTTCTCTAAGCAAAATATGCTTGTGAGGTCACAAATGAAGCGAAGAAAAAGAAAGGGTTGAGAGAGATCGAGGCTAGGCTATAGGCTAAATAGACTGATCGGTTCTTATGGATTGATTGAAATTGATAGGTCTATTGACCTGTTACTGACTAAAGAATGTTTTAAACTAGTTAATAAAAGTAAGCAAAACAAAAAAAAAAAGAGCTAGTCAATGAGTCAGTTTAATGCCGTATGATGACTAATCACGGTCATGACTAACAACATTAAAGCGAAATGTTGTTGACTACGGAAGCGTGATCGGCCACACAGTGGTTGATTCAAAAGACATGATGAAAGCTAACGTGCTAATTACTACTGAAGATGACGGCGGCAACGTTGACTGATGGAAGAGAAGGATGACGAACACGCTTATGGCAACGACAGGATGTCGCATTCGTCCAAGATGGCCACCCGCTTCTGCATGTGTGTGTGTCATTCATTGATGGCACGACATAAGTTTAGCTGGACTGTCCCGTGATAGCGCAGTGTTTACCTGCTAAACATAGGGGCATATGCGGCGGTGTGGGTTTGAATCCGTGCTGGAAGGGGCCAGCCGTCTGAAGTAAAGACCTATATACCGAACGTAAAAGACGAGAAACATTTCTATGTTAGGCTAGATTGGCTCAAACGATCAGCAATCGTTCAGACAGACAAACTGTATGTACTTCTACTACGATCATTAGCAGTAATACTACTATTATTACTACCACTATTAATAAAATATTGCTATTATGACTACAATTGTTACTATATTTCAGACATAACGATACACATCATCATAATCAATAGTATCGTACATGATACTTTCATGAAGGACGCCTTCTGAAGCCTTGAAGCTTCCGAGCCGCCTCAAAAAATAGCAACAGTATTATCAATAATATTCATACGACTAATACCAGTAATGTGCTACGCTAGAATATCTGATGGCGGAGAGAATGAAGCCGATGCTGTTTATGATGATGATGATGATATCGGTCGCAGTCCTGGTCTGTTTGCGGTATGGAGGGGCTCCGCCGGACGGTGTCTACCACCCTCTGGCCGGCGGACCGCGTCCAGTCGCCGATTGCTGGTTGCCCTTTGCCGATCGCGGCTTTGCCCTTGTTTCGCCTGAAGCAAAAAGAAACGGGTCGACGTTTTATTGGAAACTAACTTCATATGATATGACGACGACGACGACGACGATGATGATGATGATGATTGTTATTATTATTTAGCTAATATGCAATACAACATACCCTAATAAAACTATATTGTGACTTAAATATTCAGCCAATCCAGTCACTAAACAAACACTACCTTTACAGTAATAACAACTACGATCTCTTGATAGTACATACAAAACGAAGACAAGATATCAATACCATTTAAAAAACGATATCAGCGCACTTATAGTTTGATAAATATTAATGGCTATACAAACATCCCCCGATCCACAACAACAGTAACAGCGTAACAATGGCCATAACAACAATATAAATACAATAAAAACAACACACGCTCACGCGCGCACGCACACACACACACACGTACACACACACACACACACGTTATACAGCACGTAAAAACAACACTGAAATTCAAAAATGTTACTACATGCATGCAAAAAAGTGAATACCGAAATTATCCACCGTACGATAAACAAATGAGACGAGGTAGATATTTTTGATGGTTTTTTCACCTCATATATATATATATATACAATTGCTTAATTATTATTTTAATTGTACTCCTTCATTCTTCGTAAGCAATGATATGGATCCTTATTTAATGGTCACACTTGCTTGGTTAAGTGTTCATGGAAGAGGAAGAAAGTAAGAGAGGATGAGAGACGTTCGCTCGTATCATATCGCTTTGGTGGTAGGCCGCGATTAATCATGTGACGAACGTAACAAATCTCACGAGAACTGACCCCTCTTAAGGCGGTGAGCCAGCTCTGACCGATGCCAATCGTAAAGGATATAAAAAAAAAAAAAAATTTCAACAATTTTATGGCTCACCGCGCCGATAATAATAACAATAATACTGCAATTGTACTAATATCAGCTTCTGACCTACGAACTAATTTAATTCATTAAAAAGGGTCATTAATTAAAATCGTTTTGTTATAAGGAACAAAACGATTAAAGAAACTTTCTACTGTTACCATACGCGGCAAATGAGCGGACTTCGGCGCTTGGCTCCCCTTTGCCTAGGGCTACACGTAGCAAACTGATTCATTTTCATCTGATTGCTCTCGTACCTTAGCGGCGATGGGTGCCGACCGCCGAAGCGGTCACCGAACCTAGACGTTTCCCAGTTATTTAGAGAAACATTCAACAATGATAACAGCAGAAACAATAAAGTGTGTCTATACATAAACGTTGAACGAAGCGGAACAAGCGAAAAGAGGATAACGAAAGGGCACCACAACAACAACAACAACAACAACAGCAGCAGCATCGATTACATTGAGGTACTAACCAAGAAGACAAAATTTTTATAGGTCACCTACAATTCACTTCGCTTCAATAAAATAGCAGATGACATATGTATCTCGATTGACAATAGCCGCCCTTCCCCCCACCCCACCCCACCCCACCCCACCCCACCCCCCAGATCAGATGGCGCGGAAGGCATTGAGAGTTTCCGACTGGAGATTTACAGCGGGGTTCCAAATGGCACATATAAATGTGTTTCAGTGCTTTTGAACATTATTAATCTTATGATGATAGGAACGATAAGAGTAGTTAGTGACCACAATTAATGGTGCAATGGCGCAGTACGTATTTTGCTCTCACAATGTTGATTTTGCTAACTCTTTTAACGGACATCGACGTTATAAATACGACAACCATGATGGTGGTGGTGATGATGGTGGTGACTATGGAACTGGTGGTAAAACACCACAGTTTCCACACTGATCCAATTTGGGCCACCGGCGATGGCGATGGAGATAATAACGATTATGATAAACTATATGACTAGTAATATCATGACCTGACATTACAGCGGAGTTTCGACAACGGACGCTTTTTACGTCAAGAGATTGCCAATAAAACGTTTACCTATCTTGCATCTCAAGAATGGGTCGCTTCTAAGTAACGACACCCAAGACAGTAAACTATTGATCATCAAGACAGAAACAAAAAGGCGTGGGATTTGTTATTATGCGATGACGATGATGATGATGATGATGATGACGATGATGGTGATGATGATGACGATGACGATGATGATGATGATGATGATGATGATGACGATGATGATGATGATGACGATGATGATGACGAAAATCCAGACGACAGAACGAATAACAACGATTTCAATGAGACTTAGAACATTCTTATGATCACTGTTACAATTAAAACGTTGGTGACAATACGACTGATCGTTTTCTGAGTTTGTACAGATAAAACTCGTTGAATAGATCGCTTTCCCTGAGGTATATATGTTGGTCAGCTTGGAAGGCAACATGGATCTTGAAGAAAGCGATGCCCAAGCTCGATACTTGTGTAGATAGAATATAGCCATGCGCCACAATAGGCTAAGGCCAACAGTAGCGGTAGCAGCAGCAGCAGCAGCAGCAGCAGCATCAAATCTAGAGAGACGTGAAAGCCACACAGATAATTGCTGCGAGAGAAACGACGTGAAAGAGTTATTCGGCATCGTATTATTAAATCAGAGCGACAAACGATACGTGATGTATCCTTTGAAAACTAAAATCCTTTGTCACATGCACGGAAACACAAGCAAAATTAAGTGGTTCTACTGGATGTTCTATTGGACATACAAGCAATAAACACGAAATGCACCTACAAAAACTACCCATTTGGCAATAGTCATAGGGATTTTTTTATATGTATATATAGACAGACACATGCAGTTGTGCTTCTACCAGTGGTGATAGTATCGTCAAAAAAGTAGTCCTATTATAGAAGGGTGGAGCATTACACCAATGGGCTGTCTTCTCTTGCTGGGCTAAGAATTGTAGGCAGTTGCTGTATCGGATAGTCTGCTTATTTCTTTGTTATCGATGCTAGCGACCATGACGATTCAATTGCAGCAGACTCGTCATTACGCAATCGCCTATCGTCCATCAGGTTATTGGCGCTCGTGAAGTAATGATAGGCCCTCATTAGGGACAAAGTTACTTGGGAGACATGGTTTTGTCAGTCAAAAGCGACATGTCGACCTAGGTATTGCCGAAGGCA